TATTTTGAGGAAGATTACCCCTGAGCTAACATCTGCTTCCAAACCTCTTTTTGCTGAGGAAGACTGGCCCTGGGCTAACATCCGTGCCCACCTTCCTCTACTTTATATGTGGGACACCTGCCACAGCATGGCTTGCCAAGCAGTGCCATGCCTGTCCCTGGGATCTGGACCAGGGAACCCCAGGCCACCAAAGTGGAAAGTGTGCACTTAACTGCTGCACCACGGAGCCAGCCCCAAGAAATTCATTTTATTGGAGAATCCATTTCCAAAACTTAGAAGATTTATCTCCACATAATTGTCCCTTGATACTTAACATCTATCTTCCTCCTTCAAGTGAGTCTTTCTTTGTGAAATTTCATATTTTCTGCCAATGATTATAGCATTATTTTTATTCTTTTTTTCTTGGACATTTGAATCACTTTAAAAAAATTGTGCATTAAGTTTAAATTCGCTTAGGCAGAACATTCCTACCCATTCCTCTGTATTTGCTCACACCTTTTGTACTACTTGGACACAGCTCCTAAAACCCTTGGAATTTCCCAAGTGATAAGAGCTATAAAGGTGTCTTTTGTGATGTTAATGAGGAGACTTTTGGACCCTACCTAAGGATGAGGCCTGGGTGCCAGGAGAACCAACCATACAGTTAGAGGGTTGGAACTTTCAGTCCCACCAGCAGTCTCTGGCCTCAGGGGTGGAGAGAGAGGCTAGAGGTCGGGTCCATTGCCAACAGCCAATGATTTAATCAATCATGCCTATGTAATGAAGCCTCCATAAAAACTCAAAAGGATGGCTTCAGAGAGCTTCTGGGTTGGATTTTATATCAAGGTTAATTTTATACCTGATTATAATTATAATTATAATATTTACCTCCATTCGATATTCATAGAAGTCATCATTCATAATTACTGGTTGGTGGCTAGTTTCTTTTTAGAGTTTATGTATGATGTTAAAATGCTGTTCAGGGCACCTTATCTCGTGATTGCAAACCACCTTTAACTACAAAACCAAAAGAAGTTTTAAAAAAATAGAAAAAAGGTGTTTTTTTTTTTTAACTACTTAGAAGAAATACTACCCTTATACAACTCGACAACAATGGTAGTTTTTAATTTTGGTTAGAGATTCCTTGACTTGTGACAAGTAATGACACAGTTTCTAAAGAGTATATTCATTGGACTTTTGCTTTGAGAATTTTTTAAATTAATTTATCTTCTATTTCATCAGTGCCAACTATTGCATCCATCCCTCTTCTATGGAGGACCAGACTATAGGAATTTAAAGAATTTTGAGTATAATAAAGCATAATGAAACTTTTAACATTCAGGCAAAATTTTTTCGCTGGAATTTATCTGTTATTCTGGCAAGCTTCTTCTTTGTTTTTTTGGTGAGGAAGATTGGCCTTGAACTAACATTTGTTCTGGCAAACATTTTGATTATAGATTAATTAAATCCACAAAATAGAATATATCATTACAGATTTAAATTAGTATATACACAGTTAGCTGTCACTCTTTGTAAGTTCTCTTATTTTCCAAAAATATAACAATTATTATTCTAATAAATTATTGTATCCCAACAGAGGGATAAATTACCTTTAAAATAAAGAATAGTTGTTAAATTGAATAACATGAAAGGGATAATGCTCCTCCGCTGGAATATGTAGTAGTATACATACGTGAAGTTTTTTTAAAAAAGTCTCTTGAAATCTTAGAAAATATTCTCACAGTTTTAGTCAGATGTTTCCTGGACTTGTATAATGCTTAATTTTTCAGCTCGGTTTTGACAAGAAGGTTGAATTCCTCTGTGCCAGCTTTGTGAGAAGATGAGAGTGATATATAGAGACATGAGTGTGAAGACATCAGAAGCTCTCCAAGAAAGACTTTAAGATAACGAGCAAGAAAAGTAATAACAAATGTTAATGAATAAATGGATGGAGATATTGTAGCTGAGGCCATGCCATGCATTTTGGTACATTAAATGAGAAGAGGAGAAATAGGCAGAAGTATTTGTGTGTGTGGGTGTGTATATATAATTTATAGTTTTATAGATATCTCTTTTCATGAAAACCATTGCTCTTTCTCTCCCCTTTACCTAAACAACTAACACTGTAATTGTAGTTTCCTCCTCCTTCTGCCTCTTCACCAGTCTGATGCTGTGGTGTTACCAGGGCAATCTATCAGATAACTCTTAAGACAGAGCAGAACCAAAAAATTATGAACCTTGGGAGGACACAAGATAGTCAGTGTACAGGACAAGAAAAATCACAGTAAAGAGAGTTCTAAAATAGAACTAAGAAAAATGTAAAGCTGACACGAGTCAGAGAAATAGTAGGGAGACAAGAAATCAAGATCAGTCCGAACACCTAAGAGAACAAAGCATAGAGATAAAAGATTTGTAAGGAGAATTGTCCCCTCAGGAAAACTGGTCTTCTGATAAGAGGTTTTTTTTCCTTTACAAGATTAACAATTCCTATTTTAACTCCAGGGCCTGAAAACAAACAGCATTAGAAATGTCATAATAAAAACATGATATAGTGTCAGAAAATAAAGAAGTAAGTTTGTAGAAAAATCTAATTGTAGTTATATGCGTATGATTATTATTGTTTGAATAGGTTTATGAAATTGATTAAAGTATTCAATGTTATCTGGTTTTAAAGTATGGTAAACACATAAAATGTTGAGGCAATCAACACATAACTTTTAGTTTTTACCATTGTACATACAGTCACATATTGTTAATGTTAGCAATGTTTTTTTGGTTGCCTTTTACTATTTGGCAAATATGTTAAACAATGTCCAATTTAATTGACTTCTAGGTACTGCTTTGTAATGTAATGCAGCAAAAAATGTTTTTGTGTTTCTATACTCTGTAAAACTTGAAGACCAGTTAGTTTTTCAAAAATAGTATAGTAAGTGCAAAACTGCCTAAATATTTTTCTTTAAGTGATGAATATACTTTCAAAGTAAAGGTAATTTTTAAGAAGTAGAAAAGATTCAAATTTATGTAAAGTTGTTAAAAATTAGAACCGTGCTTAGGAAGTCAATAAAATAATAGTTGTCAAGAAATTCTTGAGTCTTGATATAGCTATTAAAACTAACCTATTATTGTCATATTTTCAATTGTCCAGTTCTGAAACTGGACATTTCTAAGATTTTCCACAAGCTACTTAATTTCACTTTCAAAATTCCTAAAAATAGGCTCTGGACCACATTAACATAGAACTTTGGGCTCTATAATTTTAAGATTCTGAGGAATCGTTATGTATGTCTATATATAACACAAACTATCATAAAAGCAATCATAGAAGCACACATCTAGGTGACTGCACATTCTTTCTACCCATACGTAGCCTTTGATTCATTTCCACATTTCCAGACAATAATAGAAATACTATATTTATTATATTGTCATTATTAATTTAAATGCAATCATTTTCTTTCATCTTTCTACTTTATAGTAAAAAAAAAAGTCATTTTCAAATGTCTTCTCACTTATTACTACAATCCAAACTTTCTGAAACTACTGTATAGGATAAAATTGGTCTAAGTCTTCCCAAAGATGGCAATTCAATTACTAGTTTACCGAGGTCCATATTTCATATGAAAATGCGAATTAACTCAAAACAAATGCCTGCAGAATGAAAATAAACTGGAAATACTTGCGTAAATAACCAGAGTAACAGGATTCACATAGACTATGCGATGATACAAATTTGGAGATTGAAAAATTTCAATAATTTAGAAAATATTGGCATAAATATACAGAGAACTAGATTATCATGCTAAAAGTTGGAGAATTAATCCATGACAGATCTCAGCACTTCTCTTGTTTTGTTCTTTTTTCCTTACGGTCATCCTTTTCTGATTCCTGTCTGCATATCCACATCCTACATGTCTTTATGGTAAAATATTTGAACTCACCTTCCTCAAGAATGTTTAACTGGTTAAGCATATTTCAGATAATTCTATCCCATCCTCTTTATGCTATCTGTTCCTATTAAAAATTTGAAAAGGATCTTTTCCCATAAATATTTATAAATTTTAGGTATATTGACTATTTGGGTTTTACTTTTTATATTCTTTGGATATACATTTGTGTCTTCCTCATGAGACTATTTTTTGAAAACTGACACGACGTCTTCCACCTTCATTTAATTAGTCATTATGCCTCACTTGACTTCATATGTACAGAAAGTATTCAGTCAATATTCTATTTTTTCCCTAAAAAAATGATGAAAATTATGACAGTTCTACTTATCTTACTCTTGGATATTATTAAACAGTTTAATGTATTAAATTGTGAGATTTAAAAATATGTTCAGAAAAGAAATATTGTTCAACCGAATCCAAATGATTGAAAATGCTCCCTATGAACACCCATAGAATGTAACAATGCCAAAGATGAACTCTATGTAAACTGTGGACTTTGGGAAATAATAATGTGCCACTGTAGGTGAATGGGTTGTAATAAACGTACCACACTGATTTGGAATGTTTGTGGGGAGGCTGTGCATGTGTGGGGGTATGGAGGTGGACACAAACTTTGTGTATTTTCTGTTCAGTGTTACTATGAGTCTAAAACTACTATAAGATTAAAGTCTATAAAAAATGATCTCTCGTAATTATAGATATTTTCACTATGTTTAAGTTGTGGGTAAACTTTACTGAAAAGTTGTAGAAATAAAAATCTATTTTAAACAAACCTTATATAACTATTTCCAAGAAAATGATAATAGATCTCTCAATGAGGTAAATCTAGCTATCGATAAAATTCAGTAGCATAATTTCAATGTGTTTTAAACAATTCCTTTGTGGAAGAGATTTGACCAATATAAATACTGGACAAGAAGTATTTAGCATAATATTATTTCTCAATTCCATGTAAAAATACGGTTCCATACACACTTTCCATCATAATATTGGACTTATTCTTAGAGATAAATGTGAACCAATTTAAGAACAAAAAGACTATAATATAAATTCTAAATTACATATAAAACTTACATGCTTTGTGAAATTTTTGTTTAACATCATGAATAGTAGATGTTTGTGTCACCTGAAAAGGAAAAGAAAATAGAGAAAATTATGAGGAAAAGGTGTTTAGTTGTTTGCTATATGTTTGTTTCAGAAGAAAATGTAATTTAATGTTTAAAGTATAAACTTTAAAGTTTAATTTTCAGTCACTACTGCTTTAACAACATTGTAACATTACATCAATATATCTTTTTCTAAAATCTTATATTTATAGGTAGCAATAATGGTGTTATTATGTGAGTCTGCCCAACCTTTTATCTCTAAAATATATTTTTGAATTTTCTTTGCCCATAATATTCAATTTCTGGTTTTCAAACCGGTGAGACTATCAATTAAAAGTTTGAGTAAATTCACAAGATAGATAGAAGGTAAAACAATGGATAGCAGAGGAGCCTGAGTAAGTGAGGTTGATTTATGTGGACAAAAGAGGAAAATGTTACTTCAGAGTATCATGAGAAAAAATATTCTATCTAAGCCCTCTATCTTTTTTTTTTAGAGGAAGATTAGCCCTGAGCTTACTGCTGTCAATCCTCTTTTTTTTTTTTTCTTTTGCTGAGGAAGACTGGCCCTGAGCTAACATCTGTACCCATCTTCCTCCACCTTATATGTGGGACACCTACCATGGCATGGCTCGCCAAACAGTCCCATGTCCGCACCCGGGATCCGAACCAGCAAACCTCAGGCCACCCAAGCAGAACGTGTGCACTCAACAGCTGTGCCACCTGGCCGGTCCCTATCTAAGCCCTCTAGTTAGTTACGTTATTAAAACTCCCAACCAAAAATACTACAGCTCCCTCAAAATGCATGTTAGATATATAATTTGGATTTTCTAAGTGTATAATGGTTAGACAAATTATTTGTTCCTGATCAGCTAAAATTAACCCTTCTAATGTTAGAAAAATGAATAAAAGAAATATCTCTTCATCGAAATTGGAAAATTCATGATGGTAAGAGTTCTACTCAAACACCTCAAGCCATCACAACACATTTGGACCTTTTGACTTTGTTCATATCAAAGTTGCAAACTGAATTTCCCCTCCACTTCTGATCCCTTTCATTGGCTTATGAAAAACTCGATAATCCTTCGAAGTCTACATCCAAAGACATTTTCATGGTCTCTCAAGAAAAATGTATTTCCTTTTTCTAAACATGTATAGAATATTGTGTACATGTTTTATTTTATTTTATTGCTGCACTAAAATCTTCTTATAGCTATTTTGAGAGGGTGAAATGGAAAAAAAAGTGCATAAAGGGATGACATATGGTAATATCCGGGAGGGTTCTTACCATTACATTATATTTAAAATTTTATTATATATTAAAAATATAACAATGAATACTTTTTTTTACCATATGGTACTCCCTGCTTAATAGAACTATAACCAAAAGTGTGCTATGCCATTCAGCAAACATTTTTTTTGTTTCTTCTATATACATATGATTTACTAAATAAGAAAGTTCTCAGATTTAAGCACTGAAGAATGATACTAATTCCCATTTGTATTGAGAATTAGTGCTGTAAATAAGAAAAGGATCCTAAAGTGTTCTGTGAGTATCAAATTTTCAACTATTTCATAGCATCGCTCTTCTCTGAAAGATGTTAAGAAATATTTTAAAAACAGTTTTTAGAGAAAGTACTGTATATAAACTTGAACATATATTTCATTTTAATTTTGGTTATTGAACTCTGATATTTGAATTCCATTTTTAAAATGTAGTGGTTTGTTTTAACAGTGTTCATTGTTTTATCTCACTGTTACTTAATCACAAAACAGTTTCATATGTTGGTTTCTCTAATCGGGGTGCCTAAAATCCACATGCTAGTCTCTAGAGTAAGAAATATCTGTCAGTTAGTCATTTCAAGGACCATCTAATTTGGAAAAACAAATAATTTTCATGATCAATAACTGCTCAGTTAGGGTTTGCTATGTGCTCAGCTATCAATTTATGAAGGCATATTATCTTGCGTCTACATGCTGGTTGTTCCAACAATCTATGAGGTCCTTGAGGGCAATCACCTAGTGTTACTGCAATTCCTATTTCAACATGCATACAATATAGCATATTAGAAAGTTTGAAGTCACTTTTGTTGAAGCCAAAAATAAAGTTGTGAGTACAAAGTCACGTGACAACAAATGAAGTTCCTTAATCTGATATGAAAAATCTTTCACAAGTTGACTTCTGTGGAAAAGCTGTATGCTTTTCTTTAAACTACAATAGGTTAAATGACAATCTTCTATATGTATTTTTCTCTCTGAATTTGCAAACTTTCAAGACTAAGATTATATTCTCCCGAAACAAACCTACTTGCGGAAGTCGGTTGTTATTACAAGCTTCTAGCAAGGTTTTTAACTTATTTTTTACTTTTTAAAATTACATTTGACTTTCAAATGTTAGAAAAGTGCTTATTTTGAATAAATCTTTGAGAACTGCCCTTTCTGGAGCAATTTTAGTCAAATACAACAGAAAAAAAATAATTAACCATTAAATGATTCAAACAGCGTTGCTCAATTAGCCACAAGACTGTGCTCGATCAACTCTTCCGGTCCTTTAGTTGTACTCGGAGCAGAAAAAGAAGAAAAGATGATAATTAACAGAGCATATAAGACTTTCTGATTACTAAATCGATGTCTCTGTAGCTTCATCAGGAATTTTATTCATAATAACTTCTACTTTTTAGCCAGTTTTACAACCTCTTAAAAAGGACAAATTGTCATCACTATAATTTATTCACTTTTATGGATCACAATTAACTGTGCAGATGGGAGAGATAAGTATTCCTACATCTGAAATCCTGAAATTCTCTTCATTAATCTTTCTTTCTCATCAGAGGAAATTAATTTTAAAATGTTAAGTAAGCAAGGTAAATGGTGTTGATTGGTTGAACCAAAAATTTACTTCTAAATTTCAACTGATCATAGTTTTACTATTACTATTTTATCCAACATTTAAGTTGATGGACTTAGAAGAAGCTTTTTACATTCGAGTGAAATCTAGGATTTGTTTCAATTTGCCGCATCCAACAATACTTCAATATTTCACAAAAAAAAATTTGTACTATTGCTACTTTTATACACTGCATTTAAGTCACTTTTTTAGGAATTCCTTGAAATGAACAGATGTCTCTAGAATACTGTTTATCCTACTTAGAGAAATAAAAATTAAGTGGTAAAGAAAACAACCAAGACTTGAAATTTCTTTGACAGAGTAATTACAATGTGCAAACCAAAATTTTCAGTAAACTTTGTTTACCAGTAAAGATAGAGAAACAGAATAAAAGACAAATTGGATAGAAATGATTAGATATAGAGGTGCGAAAATACACATTCACACACTCACATGAACAAATACAAAATATTCAGTGCAGGGTTCCTAACTGCCAAGAGCTTTTTCTTCCTGTTTTCTGAGATACAAGGAAGAGCACTAGCCTAGAGAATCATATTTTAAAATTGACTACTTCAGGAAAGTGCAAAAAATACCTCTCAGAAGTTCCATTATAAGGTTTTACATTAGCAAATAGAACATGGAGTTGAATATATTTATTCTGGATTGTAACTAAAATATAGATAAGTGGGAGAGGCTCCAAGAAAGTGGCATAGGAAGATCCTGAACTCACCTGCTCCCTAGGAATTGATCATTTTTCTCTGAAAAAGATCTGAAAACTAGACGAACTGCTCTCCACAACATAAGATAAAAGGACCACATTGAGATGGGTAGGAGAAGCAGAGACAGGGCCTCACAAAAAACCCACCACCAGCACTGCAACATACAATAAGGAGGAATCTCACAGACAGGTGCTTCTCCCAAAGGAGCAAGGAGTTTGTGGCCCCCATCAGGCACCCTGACTTCTGGGATCCGCACCAGAGAAATGAGCCCACGAAACATCTGGCTTAGAGAAACAACAAAGCTCACATCCAAGGGACTCCAAGTGCTTTAAGAAACTGAGATACCTCACTCAAAGGGCATTCATATGTGGTCTTGCTCACCCAAGACCCCGCGAAAAAGCAGCAGTTTGAAAAGTGCCGAGACTGTATGTCAAGGGGATGTGTTTACTGACCTAGGAGCCTCAGCTGGAGGGCCAGGGGACTGCTGAGGTGCTCCCCAGGAACCAAGGCACTAATGGATGCCATTGTTGCACTATCTGTCTAGCCTACTGGCACAGATGGGCAGGCTCAGACAGGCTCCTTCTTGCCTCCCAGCTAAGACAGATAGGGGTGAGCAGTCCCACCGCTATCTCACTATCCCATTGTCTTTCTGAAACCAGAGAGTGCCTGTGGTTGCAGTACTCCTCCACTTCCTGGTGAGGGCCTGAAGCATGAATGGTTAGGCTTTCTCCGATTCCCTAGCTAAAGACTGCAAGCCTGTCAGTAGTGAAACTCCCCCAATCCCCAACTGGGGTTGGCAAGTGCAAGTAGTCATGGCATTCTCCCACTCCCAGTCTACAGCCACTGCACAAAGAAGGCACTGCATTGCTGAAGCCCATGGGTGGGTGCAGTCAGGACATTTTCTTGCTGCCTTCCTGAAGCCAGTGAGTTTACTGCATACGCTATACTCTCCAGATGCCTTGCTAAAGCGAGTGGGTGTGCATAATCCACAGAGGGGATGCTCCTTGATCGCCTGACCCTGGTGGCCAAGGTTGACTGGCCATACATGAGCTCCACAGGTCTGTAACAATAGGAAAGACAGTTCTTGGCAGGACCCCTACCTCCACTTCACCCCCCACCAACCCTGCCAGGGCACTTCAAAGACAGCAGACTGACACAGAACCCCAGTCTTCCTATTCACTTAGCCTGGAGCTTCAGCCTGAGAGAGAGGCTTCGGGTTTCCCTCACACCTGGAAGCTAAGGAGGAGCTCCCAGGGAACATAAGCAGGGGCACACCATTCTTGCACACCCACCGTGGCCTCACTACAGATTGATGAGACTTGCCAGAAAGGAGATTATATACTTATCTGGAGCCCTCATTTCTGCAATGGCTGCCCAGGAAACACCTTTGCCCTGAGCTAACATGTGTGCCATCTTC